CATTTATCGCCTCTTACTCACCTCGGGGAAGTAGCTAGAAGTAGGACCCAACTATAGTACCGGTACTTAGTACTTACTACATTGTTTGTTCCACTTTGTGTTGATCGAGTCGGCCTATTCGATCAAGCAAAAAGTAAAACCCCATTTTACTTGTCCGCCTCTGAAACGGCCAAAGCTTTCCAAGAAGGATGGTTAAACTCCTACAGGAACAAAAGCAAATACACAAGTATATCCCTGTGTTCATGCGTGTTGGCCCGTCGGCATAAAAAGTTTAGTTTCCAGTTAAAGTTTTACAGCACTCGTAACACGTTTATGTCATAAAAGTAAAAGTATCCATGCCATAACAGCTAAGCAAAAGCTTTCGATAACTAGCAGTAGGTGGTTGGTGGGTTCTCTGGTATGGTTTTCTCCTTCTTTCCTTTCAAACATCTGTCGTCCAAATCTCTCCCTGTTTGATTTTGAGCTTTTTACTCTTTTAACGCCTCTATTCTTCGGCACTTATATTATTATGACCATATTGTATTGCAAGTGCCGTGAAACTCTAAAAAAAACCCCCAACAAAACTTATAAAAAAACATTTAAAAAAACAATATATCATCCTAATCTCTCCTTCTGCTTTCCATTGTATATTACTCACCTGCAACACTTTTAATCGTCGGTACCTATTTGATCTATTCAGTGATACAAATGCCGTAACACTCTAAGTTATTCTTACTAAAAACCAAAAACGAAAGCAGAAGAATGACCTGTTCCCAATCAGAAGTCCTTGCAGACGAATACACGCTCCACTCTCGACCGACCACATCCCGCCTCCCAGAATGAATGAGAAGTGAGAGGAATTGAGAAGCCGTCTGTCTGTCTGTCGTCTGCATGTCACGGCCAGCCCTCCTCCCTCGGAATCGACGAGCCTCCTACCTCAAGCCTCCTGCTGGCTGGCTGTCCCGCTCGCAAGCCGCACTCGACGATAACAATCTCAGCAGTGGTCGAGAGTTATGCCCCCTGTGTCAAGATGTCTCAAAGTTGTCTCTCTCTCTCTCTCTCTCTCTCTCTCTCTCTCTCTCTCTCTCTCTCTCTCTCTCTCTCTCTCTCTCTCTCTCTCCC